TGGTGGGACCAATTATGGTCTGGGGGTGGGTTAGCCCCATCCCTTCCTGTTTAGGCCTCACCCCTTCTGGGGTGGCCTGGGGCCACTTCAAAAATTTTTGATGTGGCCCCCGGGCAAAAATGATTGCCCACCCCTGGTCTAGATAATACGTAATCCTGCCTCAGTGCAGGAAGGACTCAAGTAGCAGAGCTGTTGAGATCCTGTCTCAGCCTGCTTTTTTATGAGTCCGTGATTCTGTAGTAGCAGGACAAGGGAAAGTGAGGAAAGAAATTGAGGCTTTGAGGACGAGTAGATTTATTTATCCTACTGAAAGTACAGGGAGAATTTTAGTTAGGCAAAATGATCACTCAAGTTGGAATCTGACCAGGTCAACAGAGCAGGTGGCTTCTCTTCCAACAATGCTAAATGAATAGACTCATCTGAATCGTTGTCTAGCACAGAATCATCCCTTACATGGGGGGCCCAAAAAGCTAGACTCAGCGGGCCAGCTCTTGGCTCCAATGGATAGGTTTACATAGCCAGGTGACTCCTGCAGGTTGCGGGGCTGTTTCATTGCTGTGTAGATGTGTGGGCTCAAGATGCAGGCTAAGCTCTGGGAACTTCCCACCTTGTAGGGTCCCAGAGCCTGGGTTCTGATGGCTACACAGCAGTAAGCCTGAGTTGGCTGGCACAGGCCTGCCACAGGTGTGTCCTCGGCATGTAGACGTACCCTCTGAGTCCTGTTTGTGGCATTCCATGGGGCACAATGGTGTCTTAAAGTGCCCTGAGGCAGCAGCAAACCTTTTATCTGACCCTACATCTGTGCTTTCTACCCCTTAAACTAGTGTTTCTTAAACTGTGTTCCGCGGCGCACCAGTGTACTGCGAGGCAGTCGGAGGTATACCGCGGAGAACAGAATTCAAAATGGCCACCCTTAAAGAGGCAGGCGACCCTTTTTTTCCGTAATAACTTTCTCCCAACCCTTTCTTCCTCGAGAACGGCTCTTGTACGAGAAGGTGTTTTTGCGCAAAAAGTAGCCATCTATCCTGGTCTTTTTTGTGCAAAAGCCTCTTGTGCAAAAATGGATGCTCATTAATTATGCAAATGAAGTGCAGTGATATTCCACACTGAGCTTCATTTGCATAAGCTTTTCTGCAAGAAGGCTACAGTGTAGACGTAGCCTAAGTGTGTCTGTGTCATTCACACAAACACCAGTTGTCCTTCACTCTCATCTCCCAACCCAACACATACGTGCGGAATTATTGTTACTACTTTTACGGCTGGCAAAGTGGGTTGGTTTTGGTTTTTGACTGCTCTGTGCATTTCATAGTTTTCATTTCTCTCTTACGCTTAACTCTTATTATTTGAGTAGCAAGTTCTCAAATGCCGAACCTGTCGAGGCTGGAGTCATTATCCCTGTGGGAATTGCTGCTCCTGGAAGTGGCTGACCTGTCCCTGCAACCCCTGAGAAAGGCAGAGCAGGGGGTTGCCCCATGCTGTCTTTGCCTGCAGACACCGCTCCTGCAGCTCCCACTGATCAGTAATGGCCAGTAGAAGCTGTGGGCTCAGTGCCATGGAGCCATTGCTGTACATGCCAGCTGCTCTCAGAAGTGGTTCAGGACCAGGGCAGGAATAAGCCACCTTAACCCCACTGCTCCACCACTAGGAAGCTGTCTCGGTTAAACGGTGCCCAGCTAGAGCCTGCTTCCTAAACCCCTGTCCCAGCCCTGAACCTCCTCCTGCACCCAGCCTGCTTCCCCAGACGTGAGTCCCCCTGCACCCAAACTCCTTCCCTGAGCTTTCTCCCTGAAACCCCTTCTGGACCCCAGTCCCGCACCCTGGGCTTATCCCAGCAGCCCTCCCACATTCTGAACCCTTGGCCCAAGACCAGAGCCTGCACCTCAAACCCCTACCCCAGCCTGGTGAAAGTGACTGAGGACAGGTGAGGTAGGGGGATGGAGTGAGAAGGGTGAGGCCTCGGAGAAGAGGTGGAGCAGGGGCAGGGCCTCAGAGAAGGGGCAGGAAGGAAGTGGGGCCAGGGTATTTGGGCTTGAGAGAGATCTTACATTGCTCTTAAATTGAAAAAGTGATTTTGTGGCTAAAAAGCCTGGAGACCATTGCATTTAGATGAAGGAGGGGCATGTCTACACTTATTAGGGCGTCACCTAATTGGAATGGACGTGAGCAAGCACTCGAAGAAGAGGTTCCGTACCTCATCACTGTTGTTCTTCAAGATGTGTTGCTCATGTCCATTCCAAATTCTACGCGCCGCCCCTCGTTGGGAGTATCCGGCAAGAAGGAACTGACGGGGTGGAGGGCCAGCAAGGGTATATGTGCACCACTCCAGGGGGCTGCCTGGCTGGCCCAATGGATACTGCTAGGGGAAAAAGCTCTGGAATCCATGCACGCGGTGTGCACATACCTAATTGGAATGGACATGAGCGACACATCTCGAAGAACATCAGTTATGAGGTACGGAACCTCTTCTTTTGTCAGTCAGCTAAGGACATCAATTTCCAGGCATGGATCGGAATGCCAATCATCAGCTTCCTTCCAAGTTAAATCACAGTGCTTGGCAGAGGGCGAGGCACCAGATTTCTGGCAGGGAGGAACTGCTTCTAGACCCAGTGTTTCCCCATTTTATTTGGCCATGAAACTCTTTTAAATGCAGAAGAATTTTGAGGAACCCGTACAGCTGGGCCTAGGTTAGCCAGGGGAAGATCTGTCAAGGAAAAAAAACCCCCACAACACTGGACCTGGTGGCCGAATGCACCACAACTCCCACAGGAAGACTGCCCTAATAACATATGGAGGTCTTGTGCTAAACAAGGTCATGAGATCAACATTTAGTTGAATTGCACATTCTTAAAAACAAAAATCACATTTAATATGTACAAAAAAATAAAGCTCAAAACCTAATATGAATTATATTAGCAATTTTCAATGCAAAGAGTGGTTTTTCTTCTTTTCTTGGCAATTTTTTAAATATTTGGTTTAATACTAGAAAGTTGGATTTGCATATCTGGTGCTGCATTCAGTCGATTTCTGTATTTCATTTTTGTTGCTGCATAATTCGAGAACCCAGTTTCACACAAGTATGTGCTGCTGAAGGGTAATGACTCACGAATTGCACGTCTTGATAAAGCTGAATATTCTTGACATAAGCCGCCCCAAAACATAATCTGAGAAACTTCTTTAAATTTTTGTATTAATTGGCCATCTGAAGTGATTTTGATTAGGTCATAACCTTGCGTAGAAAAACTGACTGGTTCTCCTGTTACACTTAATGGATTTCAAATCCAGTTATTGTTGTCATTTATGGTTGGAAAATACTTCATGAAGTTTGTGTATAAATCACAAAGATGATCTGCAATGTCCTGGCCAGGAGGAAAAATACAGGAGAAAGCTTGGGGCAGGGTGTCTGGCCAAGAGAGAGAGTGTAGAGGAGGGGACTTGGGGCAGGGTATCTGGCCAGGAGGCAGGGTGCAGGAGGGGACGTGGGGCAGGGTGTCAGAGCAAGCTGGGAATGTGGGGTCTTGGCAGGAGGAGGGGAGTGAGGGGGGTTTGGTTGCGGGGTCTGGGCATGAGAGGGGACACTTACCTGGCTTGGCACCCTGCTGCAGCAGGAAAAGCCTCCAGGCAGCACACTCTTGTTTCTCCGGGGAGAGATAGGGAACTCAGTCTCCCCCCGTCCCCCACCCATGCAGCTGGGAACCCAGCGCAGCTGCAGCACCAGGCCAGGCTTCCTGCTGGCAGTGTGTGTGGGGGGGGTGGTTTGGAAACCCCGACCTTCCCCGCCAGATCAAACTCTGCCACTTCCCCAGTAAGCTGGGTAAGGACGCAGGGGAGAGCAGCAGCAAATGGGGGGCAGCAGAGCCCGAGCACACCCTGAGGGGGGCCGGCAGCAAAGCCCGAGCCGGGTTCCACGCAGGCAGCAAGTAAAAAACTGACGAGGTCCAAGAGTGACTCCTCCGCCCTG